TTCTCTACCATGGACCTGGCCAGTGGGTACAACCAGGTTGAGGTCACGGAGAAGGACCGACCGAAGACGGCGTTTTGTACACCATTCGGCCTGTTTGAGTGGAACCGTATGCCATTCGGACTCTGTAATGCACCTGGCACTTTTCAAAGATTAATGCAGAGGATCTTTGGCAATGAACAAGGTCTGTCTCTGCTTTTATACCTAGATGACATTGTTGTTTTCTTTTCTACTGTAGAGCAGCATCTTCAGCGACTTGACGTGGTACTAGCCCGTCTGAAACAGGAGAGACTCAAGGCCAAGCTCTCCAAATGCACCTTTTTCCAGCCAGAGGTGCGGTATCTCGGCCACATTATATCGGCCAACGGTGTCGCCACGGACCCATCCAAAATAGAGGCCGTGGCAAAGTGGCAGCCTCCCCAGACGGTCTCTGAGCTTCGGTCTTTCCTGGGTTTCGCAAGCTACTATCGCCGCTTCGTGGAGGGCTTTGCAACGCTGGCAGCCCCCCTCCACCGACTGATTGCTGAGCTTGGAGGCACAAAGTCTAGACGGGTCCAGCGGTCCCCACAGCTGAGCCCTGAGCACTGGAAAGAGGAGCTTAAAGACTGTTTTGAGACACTTAAGACCAAGCTCACTAATGCCCCTGTGCTTGCTTACGCAGACTTTTCACTGCCCTTCATCCTCGAGGTTAACGCCAGTTATGGTGGGTTGGGTGCAGTGTTATCACAAGAGCAAAACGGCAAGGTGAGGCCCATAGCTTATGCCAGCCGCGGACTGAAGCCCACCGAGCGTAATATGGCAAACTATAGTTCCATGAAGCTGGAGTTTTTAGCCCTAAAGTGGGCTATGACCGAAAAGTTCCGAGAGTATCTGTTGGGCCACCGCTGCATAGTCTACACGGACAATAATCCACTCAGTCATTTGGCGACTGCTAAGCTTGGCGCCACGGAACAGCGCTGGGCAGCTCAGTTGGCCTCTTTCGACTTCGAGATCAAGTACCGTTCCGGCAGAAGCAACCGAAATGCGGATGCTTTGTCCCGTCAGCATCCGCCTGGCCCATTAGATATGACGGCCATGCTCCCTGGCACACCACTCCCGGAACCACTCCAGCAGGTCCTGAAAATGAATAAAACGGTCGTGACACAAGCAACTGTGACTGTTTTACCTGAGAGAACCCCTGACGACATCCACAACCTGCAGCAGGCTGATTCGGTCATTCGGGAAGTCCAGAGGTACTGGGAGGAAGGACGGCGTCCCAGTTATGCAGAGCGACAAGAGCTCTCACCTCCCGCATTGATCCTGCTGCGTCAATGGGGCCGGCTGGTTAAGCGGGGCGACATCCTGTATCGGCAGACCTTGCGCCCTGATGGAGCTGAGCCCATCCTCCAGCTGCTCCTGCCTGCAGTTTTAGTTCCTGAAGTGTTGACACAGGTTCACCAAGAACATGGCCATCAGGGTGTGGAACGGACCCTCGCTCTTCTACGATCCAGGTGTTATTGGCCGGGTATGTCAACAAAGGTCGCACAGTGGTGCCAAGCTTGTGAGCGGTGTCAAGTTGCCAAGGACCGTCAGCCTGCTGCCAGGAATCCCATGGGACACCTTTTTGCAGCAAGACCAAATGAGATCCTCGCCATTGATTACACCCTGCTGGAGCCCGCTCAAAATGGCATGGAAAATGTCTTGGTGATGACAGACATCTTCAGTAAATATACGCTCGCCATCCCCACCCGTGATCAACATGCTTCTACTGTAGCCCATGTTTTGGTGGTGGAGTGGTTTTCGAAGTTTGGGGTTCCTGCAAGGATACATTCGGATCAGGGACGCAACTTCGAGAGTGCAATTATCCAGCAACTTTGCAGTCTTTATGGCATCCAAAAATCTCGCACCACTCCATATCACCCAGCCGGCAATGGTCAGTGTGAAAGATTTAATCGAACTCTCCATAACCTCCTCCGCACACTGCCTCCATCCCGAAAAAGAGACTGGACCTCTTGCCTCCCACAAGTCCTTTATTCTTACAACACCACTCCCCATCAAACCACTGGCGAATCACCATTCTTTTTAATGTTTGGTCAGGAGCCCAGACTCCCCATCGATTTCCTGTTGGCCAGAGTCCAGGACCCTGTCAGTGGAGGTGTTCATGAATGGATCCAAGAGCATCAGGCCCGGTTGCAGATTGCGTTTGATGGTGCAAGAGAATGCATGAAGACTGCAGCGGAGCGCAGAAAGACGGCGCATGATCAGCACCTCAGAGGTGAACCACTGAAAGAAGGTCAGTCAGTCTTCCTGCGCGACTTGAGTACCAGGGGGCGTCACAAGATGAAAGACCGCTGGAGCTCGACAGTGTATTCAGTCCTCAAAGCACCAAAGGAAGGAGGCTCCGTCTACACAATAGCCCCAAAGGATGATCTGTCTAAAGTAAAGCATGTTCACCGTACCTTGTTGAAGGCGGTGGTTGGAGCAGAGCCCCCTGACCATGCGGTGGCCAGTCATGCACCGCCCCCTGACAGCCCAGTCTCTGAGTCCTCCTGTGATGGTGACTTGTTGTTCCTGGTCCCTAGGACTGCTCCCCTCCCCACCTTTCCAGCCACTCGGGCACGGGCCGAGACTGAAACCGCTCCTCAACAACTACACCATCGACCTAACATGGATCCCACTGTGCCAGGTCCATCAGTGCCCCCTGTTCTGAATCCAGACCTGCCATCTGCATCCCCAGTTGCTCCGTTCACCAGCTCCTCTGACCCCATTAACTTGCCACCCCGGAGGTCAACGCGGTCAACTGCTGGCCACCATCCTAATGTCCACCGCATTCCAAGGCCAGTGGGGGACTTGGCATCGGGGGCTGCAATTTCCGAACGCCCCGTATCACACTTAGTCACTGCACTCTTTAGACCCTGGAGTTAAGCACGCATTTAGTTTATCGTCGGGACGGCGATACAAAGAGTGGGGGTAGATTGTAGCAGGATGACTGCTTTTCCAGTGGCTCCGCCCACTCGCAGTATTGTGCCCCTTTAATTTATTATATAAGGAGGGACCTGTAGATCTGCTCGCTCTCTGACAGCTGATACGCACCTCCCCCTTCCGGGTTTACCTGGCTGCAGGTTCGGCAGACGCTCGGCACTCTCTGCAGGGTTGTGCAAATTGTTCCACCGTGCAGGTATGTTGCAGTCTATTGCGCGTCGGCGATTTAGTCTGCACCGTAATAAACTTGCGTTTATGTGCAGGCGCTGGCAGGTCGGACTGCGTGTTTGCTCGTTTTGTCCCGGAGCTATGCCACGCTGAGGTCCCGACTGCCCTGACCCGTTTTGGACTGCTGCTGCTTTGTGTGGGGATAAAACCCACACTTTTTACGGACCTTGCCTGCTGTTGCGTTCGGGTGTGGAAATCCCGTTGTCCGCATTTTTATGCCTATTGTATTATGTTTTCATGTTTAGCTGCCTGAAATAGGAGGTGGATGGCAAGGGAGATTTTTCTTTATTATTTTTGTAGCTATTTTTGATTATTTGATGGTTTAGTTCTTTGAGTTCAAACTGTAACCTGTTTTGATATTTTCCTTTCTTTTTGATTTGTATTGGATCTCTATTGTTGAATTTATTTTCAGTCTCCCATTAACTGTCCATCTTTGTGATTCCAGGTGCTGAGGGCCTCACTGGTGATCCTGTTTGGTGATGGTGTCCCTTCGTGTGTAGTGTCTTATTCACTCCCCTCCTTTGTTTTGCTTTGCCCTTGTGTGTTTGGAGTGTTAATTTTGGATTGTGGTGCTCCCATTTTAAGTTTATACTTTCACCCCTCACTCACCTTGAGCACAAATGCCCCAGCCCTGGAATACATGATAATTTATACAAATAGGATAACTTTTTTTAGATTTGAATTGTGCCCAATAAACTGTTGTATATGCTTTTGGAAACACGTCTCTCGCCTGCTCAGTGTAACGAACCTGTGTTGTCCTTTTGTTTAGATTTAGTAATTTACCTTATTCCTAGATTTCTTTCTTTTCCCTGGGTGATTTCTCCCAGGGTGGCGTTGCTGGTTTCCTTTAGTTTCTTTCTTTTTCCCCTAGTTAAAAACATAGATTATTGGGGTAGTTCCTACCCCACCTCACGCTTGCCACAGTAGTGATACATGTACTTTTTGAATAACCATAAATTGCTCAATATTAAACCAAAACGGTTTGGTTTGTTATAAATGCCAGAGATGTAGTTATGACACTGTATACATTATATCAATAAATATGTTATGTTCTGAAAAAGAATAATGTTCTAAAATAGGGACAAGATGTCCCTTTACAAAAATACATCAAGAAATGCAGCATGTTGAAATCCACACCCTGTACAGAGATGTATTTATGACACTGCATGGTTATGAATAATTATGACCATAGGTTTACTTATGAAAATTATATTAAACAACATTATTCATGAATATGCAGTGTCATAACTAAATCTCTGACATTCATAACCAACCAAACCGTTTAAAAATCTGTGGAAAATTGCGCAAGCTATTACTATTTAAAATACATGTATCACTACCAACACAATGTTATGGGTGAGCGAGCTGCCCGACCCAAGATGGCCGCCATGTGCGGACGCTCTATACCTCGCCGTAAGACATCTAGCCTTTATATAAAATATCTATGGTTGAAAAAACAGGGAAGGAGGTAAATCTAAACACAAGAGTCAGGAAACTACAAAATAAAACAGGAAACAAACCCACACCGTGACACCAAACAACTACAAAGAGAAGGAACAAAGGGTGCAGGATTATTCCTATATGAATAAAATGATTTCCAATGAGCCCAGATAAAAGGAATACTGTTGGCATGTTGACTTCCTGTCTGAAGGAAACACAGAACATTGAGTGGCTTTGGAAACCTGACTTACACAATTTCATGTCTTATTTTCTAAATTTTTGTTATACATTTTTTTATCGATGCCCTCCGACACATTCGATCTCAGTGCTGAATGTGTATCTCTGCCCCTCCAGCTCCACCTGTTGGAAATATTTACAATCCTGCAAACACTCCCCAAATGTGCTGGCAACCAGTTTTTGTTCAGTTGCGTTTCCCTCTCACATCACTGTGTTTGCTGACAGCACAAAAATACACGCCGGCGTCCTCCAGCTGCAAGTCCTTCACAGTAAGAGCGCCGCTCTCAGAACTTTCTTTAACGGCTGAATATTTGGTCTGAGGGAGCTTCCCGTAATCTGGCTGTCCGCCAAAAACTGTGTAGACCACCAGGGTCATGGTCTCTCCTGGACGCTGTCTGTACCAGTACATCTGGGTGTGACTGGCATCTTTGTTGTGGCTGCAGTTCATCTCTGCCGATTTGGAAGCAAGACTCCAGTTGATTTCAGGGTGTTGCGTCACACCCTGGCAGTGACCTGTGTGAAGGAGATACAACATGTCCGTTTCAATCAAAATGTTTGATTTTTTTGTCATTTACGAGGTGCATTATTTTAATTTAACTATTGAAATGACATTCACATTTTTAGGTCTTCTATAATTGAAAGAGAAATCTTCCTCATAAACACTGTAGTTCTGCATCAGCCCGTGTGACCATGTGAGTCAATACACTAGACGCCATTAAACACTGTTCAAACATGTCGACTTGTGTTGTACCTTGAAGCATCAGCGACGACACTACGAGTGCGATGAGAACTGGAGTCATTGTAACGATGTTGTTGACGTGAGAAGCAGCCACAGCAAAATGACTGAGTCTCTTTTCATAGTGGGAGGTGGGAGGTTAAACAGATTGCTCTGCAGAAAGGGCCTCCCATCATGTTCTCTAATGTTGATCAGAAGAAAACGACTTATTCCAGGTGTCTGATGTACAGAGATAGAATTAAAGGATTATTAAGCCAGGATTTGGTTGTGGGTGTCGATGCTGTGTGAACGGTCACGTTTTAACGGTTTATAAATGATTTGGGGTTTGTTGTACATACCCAGTGGAGTCTGGTGTCGCAGAAACATTGGACAAAATACAGCTTGAGAAGAAACGGTTGAAAACATAGGACATATAACAAAGCTGGACTGGCCGCAGTATGTCAAAACACAAGCAAATTTATTAAAAGTATGTAGAGGACTTGAAAAATTCATATTCATATTCATCACATAAAATAAACCAGAAGTCATCAGGTATCACAGTGCTTTCTCATCCCTCCTAATATTATAATGCTTATGTCAACCACAGCAACAACTGGCTATGTAATGTTGCTGTATGAGAGGGTCACAGGTGCACGGGGCTGTGAGCTTTGATACAGATGTTGTTGTTCTAAGGAGCAGTGATGTGCAGCACTGTGTAGACTAGCAGCACAGAAGTACACCGCGCTACTGTTCAGCACCAGGCCCTCAATTCTTAATTGGCACATTTGGTTTTTATCTGCACTCCCATCCATCTTTACGCCTAGTCCAGCTTCTGGGATTCTGAGGGTTTTTAACACGTATCCCAGAAACTGCAGTTTGTTGTCCTTGGACAGTTTGTACCAGAAGATTCGATCGTAGTTGGGAATACTGTGTGAACAGTTGATTGTGGCTTCTTCTGTGGGTTTGTTGTAAATATCAGCTGGAGTCTGGTGAACTTGGTCACTGAGAGACGAGCCTGTTGGGAAATGAATAAAAGATAATTGGAAACAACGTCAGAAATACCAACAGAAAATGTGACTGGAGGGAAACAAGGAAATAGAAACAAATTTACAGGGAATCTTGAATTCATTGGTACATTACCTGAGACCATAAAATATCTAAAAGTAATGCAAATGAAGATGATGTGCATTTTGTGTTTCTTCTGGATGTTTGGTAATACCTCAGAAAAAGCGATCTAATTTGGATCCCTCCTATGTTGTTGCAACGCCTGAAGCAGCTATACAAAGAATCCCCCAAACTCCTCCTTTGAACCCTCCCAAGTCATTGGTGGGGCGGCGTCATTGTCAACCAACCCGACACAGCTCTGTGTCTGGTTCAGTATAAAGATCTGTAAAAAGATTCGCTGAGGACGGAGCACAGGTGTGAGGAGCTGTGAGCTGTTTTATGGGGAGAGGAACGATCTTGTACCGAGGAGCAGCCATCTGCTCCACAGTGTGACCTCGCAGCACAGAAGTACACAGCACTGCTGTTCAGGGCCACTCTCTCCATTGTCAATGTGCAGGTCTGATGTTGATTTGCACTCCCTGTCATATTCACACCCAGTCCAACCTCTGGGTTTTTATTAGTTGCAAACATGTAACCCAGGAACAGCATCGCGTCATCCCTGGATTGTTTGTACCAGAGGATTTTATCGTAGTCCTTAATGCTGTGTGAGCAGTAGATATGGGCTGTTCCTTCAGGTCTGGTGAACATCTCAGATGGAGTCTGGTGCACCTGGTCGCTGAGAGAGGCACCTGCGGAAACAGCATCCACGAATAACAATTTACAATCATGGTCAACTTAAATTTGAAAGAACGCTCAACAGGACTTTTACCTGAAATTGTCATGACATTGAGGGCTAAGCAGAAGATAGTGATCATCTTGCTGTGTCCTCCTTGTTACTGGTACTGTGCTTCTGTAACTGTATAATCTGTTTGAATATGAGAACCCTCCCACCAGGAAACTTGTTTCTTGTTGGGTGGAGTTATATTGCTCCCAGACAGACATGTAGTGCCACCTTATGACAGCAGATAGGACGACAGAGACCTGAACAGAACCCTCCGGGTCAGGCATAATATAATGAATCATGTGTTGGAGGTACAGCAGCAGTACATCTTTATGTATTTTATTGAATGGCATAACTGCAGTGTGAAAGTTTGTGTGCCCTAGGGTTTCCTGATTTGAAAGCCAGAATGGGGACACCTAAGTGATTCTTCAAGTAGAATATTATTCAACTCTTCAAAGATTGCAATTGTTGCCACATGACAGACAAATACTATTTTTAACTTACCCAAAGTGTACAAAGTTCATTGACTTCCTCTCAAAGTTCTCGGAGCTCAGTGGTGGGCCGTACATTTTTGTACCTGGGCCTTCTGTGCCAACTGCAGTTGAATAACCTAATGACCTCATCATAACGCCACAGCTACAGGTTATTGTTTGTTTTGTGTAAACACCGCATATTCACGTAACACTGTAACATTTAAAGTGAAATAAAATGTTACATGAAGCTGAACACCTATACAACTGCAAACACATGAATATGCACATGACAAGACGTAAAGACACAAAAGCAGTTTACGTATAAAATGCTGTTCACTATTTACAGACAAAGTTCAACCTGAACTATCATAAAATACTAAGATGTGCTAGCTAGCTTTTTGTTTGACCAAAGTCACGCTGGCCTACTGACCAATCACGGCGCACGTTAAAGTACTTATAAGGCTACCTGGGTAGTTGTGCAGTGTACAACAAATGATGAAAGTTGTATTTACAGTTTAACTTGTGCAGCTAAATGATTTAATAAAGGAGTGAACTTACAAAGCAGAGAGTCCACAAAGCAGGCAGGAACATTAGTCAGTAATGAAGTAAACAAAACTCCATGAAGGACAAACGGACAAATAGAGGGAGGGAAGTCAGTGGCATTGGATTGATAAACAAGGGAAGTAAGATGAGCAGGAAGTTAGGTGAGGTGATCAGGGGGTGAGGTAAGCAGGACGTTGGGTCAGCTGATCAGAAGATAAGGTAAGCAGGAAGTTGGGTAATTTTCGAGCGTATTAATGTAGGGGTCTTAAATATTATAGCATCACTCCAGAAGGCCCATGGTAAAACCAATCCTTTTTCTGTTAGGTCAGTGTTACAGGACTCTCATACCAGACTCATTCAACTAAAGTTGCCATAGTTACTGAGCTCAAACTATTGATTTTCTGCAACCAAATAAGCTGACAATGAGACAGGCTAACAGGAATAGGCCTGGTTTATTTGGGAAATTTGCTCTATGGAAGGGATAACCTTCAAATTCTTCAAGATAACCTAGAATCATCAGCCCGAAGGTTGGGTCTTGGCCGCAGTTGTGTGTTTGGGGTCATTGTCCTGTTTTAACACCCATCAAAAGTGGCAATAGAATGGCTAAATCAGGCCAGAATAAGGATTTTAGAATGGCCTTCTCAAAGTGCTGATTTAAATCTTATTGGGAACATGTGGACAATGCTGAAGAAACAAGGGACATGTAACCAAATATTAGCACTGCTGTATGCATATTTTTGACCCAGCAGACTTGATCACTTTTTCTGTTAGCCCATAATAAAGTCATAAATGAACTAACCTTCATGAATGTTTTTTGTGACAAAGAGTGATTGGAACAGATACTTCTCAGAGAAAAATCTGACTTAACGGGGAAACTCAAGAGAGCCATGAAATTGTTCTTTACAAGTGTATGTTTGACCACAACTGTAGCTACCCTGTTACTGTGCATTCAATACTAAGCTATTCAAATAATACACAATATACATTTTTATTTTTAACATGTGCAAGGTACAGGGTGGCTGTGCCGCTGCGATTTATAAACATACATCTTACATACAACACTAAGTTAACAATTAATAACAACTTATTAAAATTCACAGATTTACGTTTTTATTTTAACATACATACATAAGGGACAGGGAATCCTCAAGCATCTGTGGATGGCACACATACTCCCACAGTAGTGAGTTGTCTGACCCTGATGTGTAGCACACAACTTATCAGAGGGTCATATCAGCCTCCGGCTGCAGCCTTGACCTGTATTTGTTTTTCAGGTAGGTGAGTGAGGAAAATCCACTTTCGTAAAAATAAGTTTGTCGCAAAGGACAAAAGGCTCATCATTGCTCCACAGGCCATAGATTTTTGATATTTTCGTTTTAACAGGCTTCTTCTCCGACACCCCTGTGAGGTATGGGTTGTCTGGGGCTGTAGAACCACCGACAGAACACTCAAGAGTCCCGATCATTAATCTTGGGGAGAGGAATGGGAGAGAGGGGTACAGAAGTGAGGTAAAGGTTAGGGCTGGGGTGGGAGGCGTTATGGTTAGGATAGGGGTCCGACCGGAGGCGGTGGTTCTGCCCAGATTGAGCCCCGGGGTCCGGGCAGGGGTCAGGGACAGATCCGGTGGCGTCCTGTCCCGGGAGTAACAAGGCCTGCATTCCACCCCATAGATATTATATATAAAGGCTGGATGTCTCGTCCTCGTTGTCGGCCAATAGAGTCGGACGTCCGCACATAGCGGCCATCTTGGGTCGGTCAGCTCGCTCACCCATAACATTGTGTTGGTAGTAATGTACGTTTTAAATAACCATAACGCAATTTTCAACCGATTTTTAAAGGGTTTAGTTTGTTTTTAACGTTG